GCACTGCAAATTCATGTTCCTGAGTCATGACGTTTTCGTGCCGCAGTCTGAATTTAAAGGCTAGAATTAACTTCCTAGACTTGTTGTCGATGTCATTCCTAGGGCTGATAAAGTTATCTGTTAAGACTATTTGCCCATTTAGAACTTTTATACATTGCACGTCCACAGTAGCCTGCGGAAATGCTTCTCAACGTCTACTTTGCCAAGACTAACCGACTGGATACTTCTAATTTAGTTGACACAGTCAAGTGACACCTGAAGCAGGTAATTACCAATTAGCAGATTGTTGACATGCTTTTAACATGGACTTCATTATCTGTCAAACCCCACTCTACTATCTGTGAGTAAAGAATGGTTGAATCTAACATGTTAGGGAATTTTCATGGAAGAAGATGAAAAGAAAAACACAGCTGCTTATTACCTCAAAGATTTGGTATCTATACGTATGCAGGCTTTACAAAGAACAAGTGAATTTCTTGATAATTAATTGCTAAAATATGGTGACGTTAGGAAAGAAGGAAACACTAAATGTCAGCTTATGTAAATTTAAAAAGTGCTACTTAAAGTAACAAACACAATCGAACACTAACAAACTATCTCGATTCGAAAGATTTTTAGCAGATGGCAGTTTAACCTTCAAAATGAATGCTTAGGTTCTTGCCACATGCTGGACCTGATACGATGTCTGCATCTAAAGCGACATTTTGAAGCAGTTGCACATTCAAAGTCAGCAAATTAATACATAAGTGTTTGACATGGAAACATTTGTAGTGCAACGATTACTTGAAAAAACTCCTACGTCGATAGTCAATCACATAAGTCAAAATAAAGACTTGGTTGCTAAGTAGGAAAAATCTGCCTCATGTGCATTGTCAATGTAAATAAATACTACATGACATCGATTGTTTTAGACTAGGGTAGGTAAACAGGCATCCACTGAGATGTCTCAATGCGCAATTGCGCTAGCCAGAAATTTTTTTACACTTTGTTACTGTAAAAGACGTTAAGTACAACGTCATTACAACCGGAGTGAAATAATTTGGTTGATATCGAATCCTTGAGCCCAATTGCATGTCCTTTTCTTGTATTTTGTTTACTTAAGAATTATTTTGGACCTGCTTTTAAAAATTTATGAAATTTATTAATTAACTTTATATAAAGCAAAAGTTTGTCAATTATTGCAACATTTGAAAACGTTTTGCAAAATATGTTTAAATATACCAATAAACCCAAATAAGTCGACCTAACTCACATACGGGAAATAATTTCATGACGCTAAGTTTGTTGACATGGATATTGGTAACTGGCAAATGATACTGCTTGAATTAGACTTGATTAGTGCAATACTTGTGCAATAACGAATAAGCTGTTTCTTTTTTAAAAAAATGTTTGCCCAGAGAAATTTGAAGTCATCAGGTACTGTTGTCCATCAACTAATCAGTCTTTGTTGGTGCGGCAATCACGCAAGCGATTCCTCCCTAATAGAAGAATTTAATAGTCAAATGCAAATAGATAAGTGACAGTCGTGTCCCACTAAGTTATTAACAGATTATTTGGCTCCATTTAAACGCAGACTCTATTGGAATTACTTTCGCAAACCCGAAATTGCTAAGACTTAATAATGTCTTTTTTTTTTAAATTAGTTCTTCTTAGATTGCCTTATTGGCTGGCAAATTTGGCAGGCTAGTAAGGGGTCAAGGCGATTTTGAAAGACAGACAAGGAGTTCTTCATGGTCGAGTTGAGTGAAGCAAACCGACATCTGTCGCATTGATGTTACTGACAGTGGTTTTTAATGACTCAAATAAACACTCGATACACTTCTTTGTAATCATTATTGTTTACGTCAAGCACTTACTTGGGTGTGGCAGTCGGTAGATTATGGCTGCCTGCGGAGCTGTAAGGGCAAGCCTAATTATTAGCAGTTTCGATTCTGCCACTAGAGTAGCTAGTTGTAGTCATAATGCCTTCACCAGCTTTGCAGTTGCCGCTTGATTTGTGCTATTTCAGTGTTCCGTTCAGACGGGTATATAGCTTTTTTTTTAAATTTGAAATTGGGTGTATGTTACAGTTCACTCACTCAGTGTAAGGGACATACAGAGACATTCGACAGTCAGGATCCTTTTTTTAGATTTGCAAGTCGCCTCCACCTGCATTGTTGCTGAGTTCAAACAGAGCCAAATTTCTTAAATGCTCAAGAAACATGCCAATGGATTAGAGATTAGTCTAAAGAAACTAGTAACATGGATGACAACTAGTGTTAAAATACCTGGATCGGTGGGACATTTAGACATAATTAACTTTGATTGCGCTGTGGTGGCAGCGCAAGGAAATTCGACGACTCTGTGGTCAGACACGAATTTAAAAACATCGATATTATTATTATTATGCCACAGGTCACTCACTCAATGTAAAAGACATGCAGCGATATTTGACAAGTAATTTTTTTTACAGACCTGCAAGTCACCTCCACATCCTCTGTTGCTGAATTCAATCAGAACCAAATTTCTCAAATGCTCCAACAGCAAGCCAATGAATTAGAGAATAGTGTGGAGGAACTCATTCCATGGATGTGCGCTAGCGCTGAAAACACCAGCATGTTTGTCATGTGTCGTGCGATCTGGGCTTGTCTGACAGCCACCAGACTTGTGAGGTGTCTGCCAAGAAGTGCAAATAACTAATAACCCGAACTTGCTATTGCTTCAATCATCTTTCAAATAATTGCCTTTTCTAGCAATGTGTTTACCATTTTTCTGCCGGTTTTCTTTCATCATTTGACATGGAACCCAATGCTTCGTTTAAAAATAAGCCTCATACAAAGTGCTGTCCTAAGTGGATATCGCAGGAATTGTTTGGTCACAAATGGTTCGCGTTAATGCAGATTGCAAATCGAGACGTTAGAAGTGATCACGTAGCCAGAAATTCGCCGATAACAAGTACCCAATTCTGTAGCGCAACAACCCTGCTATGTTGTGCATTGTGTGTGTGTGTGTGTGTCGGTGGGGGGCTTTTTCACGTGGCAATCAAACCAAAAGCAAGAATTTTTAATCTTACATTCAATTTATCTTTGACAAGTGCAAGCTCTCATCCATCAGTCTTGTATGGTAAGGTAATGTATGGGTGTCACCTGTTACATCTTAATTTGCAAATAAGTCTTTAAATATTAAAACTAATGAATTTTACTAAGAAAATTTTTTAGCAGCATTGTAAACACATTTTAAGAACAGGCGCGTGATGAATGCGGAAGAGCGTGATCACAACTTCCATATCACCGCAATTGGCATGTGGAAATTTCGCCTAAAATGCATTAGACAATTTTTTTGGAATCATGTTTTTTAAATTTGTTGGAAATCGCAAATGCCATTTCAAAGTAATGTCGAATTTTAATTTTTGAATGGATATAATGCTGGATAAAGATATTTGATTCAGATAAATTTTGTCTTTTAACTAGGTGTTCTTGAGGATTGGAGCAAATTTTGCCCTTCAGTGATGAAACCTATTTTTAAACGCGGTAACATGTGTGCGTTGATTGTTCTTCTTAACACTGAAAATAATTAATCAACTCACATGTTGGAAAGACCCGACGGTAATGATCTCAATTGGGTGCTATATAGGCCCTCACATGTTAATACTAATTATTCATAAGTATCATCAAAGTCAGCAAACATAACGGCATTAATATGCACTCATGTTTAAGTTGAAATTGGTATGGTGAAGAGAGCTTAAACATTTGACAATGGAGTTATTGGTAACAGTTCACATGATCCTAAATTATGTCACCTGTCGTTTGCGGTCATTACAAATCAGGTTTGTACTAAAAATCTCAACAGTATTAATTATTTTGAAGGTCATCTGATGCTTTGCATCCAAATATGCAGCAATGCATTCAGAAATCGATTTGTCTGTGAAACGATTGTGCACATACCGTAAAGTGAATGCCAATGCTTAGCGTAGTTCGTTATGTCTGCATCCTTACCCGCCACAACAGGTCCCAGGTGGAATACCCGCGCCCTTGAATGAAAGAGACTGATACAACAAAAGATGCTTTGCTAAACACTTACAAACCAGAGCGAAATGTCAGAAGCCGTCTATCTGTGTCCACTACACTGCCTGCTCCGCTCTTTCTATATCCATTTTGATAGCTATCTCCTATATTTGCTGCCTCTCCATCAATGATATCTCTACTAACGTAGATTTGATTAAACCTAATTGGACTTCACTGGAATCAGTTTTAGTGATTAAAAATCAATACGCATCTCATCAATTAGGTTTTCTTGTGTCTACTCATATTTCCTCGGTTACCACAGTCTCGTTCAATTGACTAAAGAAAAGGAGTGGCAAAGAAGAGAATAACTGCAAAATGACAACTCTTCAAGTCTTGCCGATGACTTATCTTCTGGTGTGATGTCTAAAGTGCAAAATGGGCTAGTCGATTTTCATTATTATTTTATTCGATAAATGCACAACGATGTGGCAAATATCGGCATGAGGCTAAGGAGGCAGTACGGCTTCCGTGAAATATTCTTTTGGATATGTGCAAGGTGTTGCGCGCTACAAGGCTGCGTATTGATTTTGAATGACACTATGTTGCTTCGCTTTGCTGTCAGACTAAGCTTAATACCATCTCTTTCGCTTAATCAACCGAAATTATTAAGAATTGGTAATTTTTAGGCATTTAATTGGGACAGATTAGGTGATAAAATTAATGAATGTATCACCTGTGATTTTTTAACTACTGATTTTAGGGACAATGTGACTAGCGTTAGTGCAAGTAATCCCCGATGTCGTAGTGCTGCCAGCCCAAGCAGCAGTAGAGGTTCGGCATGGCTTAGCATGATTAGGTTCTCTCTCTCGTTGGCAAAGCTAATCACCACGAGAGACGATCGTAATGCACCAATGGAGTAAGCGCAGAGCCGAGAGTTAAGTGTGAACTAATAGCGCTTGTCGCATAGTCTAGTGTTGTGTGGGCCTATAAAACAGGTGGCATGGGAGCCATGTCCCAATGAATTACCGTTTACTAGCTGTGCAGGCGACAACAACACTGGGTGGAACAGGCAAGTTACGTGCTAAGGCTAAGACGAGGTCGGCTCGTGCTGGTCTACAATTCACGGTTGGTCGTGTACACTGACTGCTACGACGTGGTAACTACGCTGAACGCGTTAGTGCTGGTGCTTCAGACTACTTGGCTGCTGTGCTCGAGTACCTTTCTGCTGAGGTGCACGAGTTGGCAGGCAACGCTGCTCGGGACAACAAGAAGACCCGCATCATCCCACGCCACTTTCAGCTCGCCATCCTCAACGATGAGGAGCATAACAAGTTATTAGGCGGTGTAACCACCGCACAGGCTGGCGTTCTGTCTAACACTCAGGCTGTTCTTTTGCCCAAGAAGACGAAGAAGTTTGCAGAGTAAACAAATTGTCAACTTCCGAAAAGGCGTTTCCACAAATAATATGAGAAGGTGGGGCTAAGCCAATCATTCACGCAAACCAAATTGTCAGCAAAAAATGTTTGGTGCAAAAACGAGTATACACCTGCCATTGCACTACAAGCCAACAATCTCACAAAGAAAGCGCCTTGATGCATATTGGCACAGACACTAATCTAATGCAACCCATATTAGCCACTATGCTCAGAAGCCAGAACATGCAAATGACAAAAGCTGGTATTGGTTTTAAAACCGCAAATAGGTACAAAATGTACCAATGATACTTAAAGGTTACTGATGCTGCATAAGAAGGAGATAGACGTAAGTGGTTGCAACTAAACGCCAGTTTATCTTCACAATAGGGCGTAGGTGCAACCTATTTCGTGGAGTTCAAATAGGCACACACTGACTACATCCACAGCTAATTGCATGACACGAGGAATGATGTTCGCTCATCTGGAACCCGACGTAACATCCAGCATCATCGGGTACTTTCTGAATATCTGACAACATCTCTTCAGAATTCGGATGAGTAATCGAGAGCATAACCGCGGCGAAATGCGTCGCAGTTGCCAAGCAGCACAAAAGGAGGTAAACGTCAGCCCTAAAAAGCAGACATAAATTGTTGGTGCAATATGGAGC